GAGAGCAGAAAAGTGATGCAGAAAGTGAATGGCCTAATATACAGTTTAGTCATCTGAAATTACCCTGAAAGCACGTTGTTGTTTTTTTGTACCCTGATCATTATGCCTAGTTTTTGTTCAGATATGTTTTGACCTTGTCAATGGCTGATGTTAAATATTAAACAGTAGTTCATTCATCAGTTAAAGTTAGTCGTGTGCTGCATTTCTTTCTGAGACGTGGAGGCTCTAACTTCCAACTTTAACATTTTCTTATTTATTGAATTCAGTCCAGAATAAATCGGGACTAAAGCAAAAGCATGTAAGGGCCAAGACCTGAACTCTCTGCAGAGAGTTTCATAACCTCTGCTATGCGAATGTAATATTTCCTGTTTGTTTCAGTTTTCCAGTTGTCAGTCCTTTTTGAGGTTGTGTCTGTATTTTTCCTCTCTCTGGGAAATCCCGTCAGTCTCGGGAAGAACTTGTTGGCTCAGCTTTGATCTTCCTCTCAGTCTCCCAAAAAAACAGGCTGTAGACACCTCTGAGTTGCTGTGAGAGATTAACCTATGATGAAAATTATTAATCATAGGTTATCTGTAATGTTTACTAAATGTTGTTAAAGATTTATTAGTTAAGCTGATTTTTTTTCTTTTTTCTGTTTGTGCAATTAGTTGTGGATTTGTGACCAACAAGCAGCTCATTTATAATATAGTAATAAGAACCAAAATAGAAATAAAAATTAATAATCTAAAATGATTGGAGACAAAAAAATTTGATTCTGCACAATCTTGGGTTCATGTGCATCTTTCTCTGTTGACAATCTTTGCATTTTGCTGAAGGTATGCTAATGCTAGCTTCCCTTTTTTGATATAACATGTTAGTCATTTGGCTCATAAATAAAGTGCTTTTACATCATGGTAGTTGTTATGTCAGCAATTCAGACTTTGCTCTCGTCATCCAATGTTTGATCTTCCAATGTGAATATGAGTGTAAAAGGTGGAAACAAAGACACTACTCTGCTTTTATAGTAGATTTTGTTTTAATGGTCAAACTCCCATCAAACCATTTAGACTTTTTTTTCCAACATACAGAAATGACATTGTCTCTGCTTTGGCAGATTGTCAACATGTTCACTGGCATCATGTTGAATGTTACTCATAGCGTTAAATGAGAGAAGTGTTGCAGTTCACACCTTGTTTCTGGCAGCTTCCCATGCTGTAAAAAATTTGATTAAATTGTGGAGTCATTACGAGTGAATTGTCTCTTTGTTTGTGGTCCAAGGACACAATTTTCCTGCTCTATTTGTCACTTCTACGCTTCAGTTATTCGTGCCTTGTGCTTTCTGAAACCGGTCATGACAGGCTGCATCTTTAACAACCTGATGTCCTCAAAGCTTTTTTACGTTTTCCTTGTGCACTGGGACATTTTTCTTTCTTTTCTACTGTTGATGTGGTGTAGTGAAGCTGCTTCAGGTTAGAAGTGGTTTAAGCTTTCCTTTGTTGACATTTTAAACCTGGTTTAGTAAATATGAATCCTGATACTCATTTTTCATCAAATCATAGAGTATTTACATGTTGAATATTAAAAGAAAGTCTCAAATATAGACTTTCTAAAATAATGATGGATTATTTAATACAGCATTGTGCAAAGAGAAGTTTTAAATTTGATGCCAAAATTTAAAATTGCATTTTTCTCTTCTGGTGAATGAGCTAAACTAACTTCTATTGCATAAAAAATTATTTTAAATAAGAAGCAATTATTTTTAAGAAGCTATTATTAACTGCAACATTGAAAAAAATTCACTACCTGTCGACAATATCTCCAAAAAACATCATTTTGAGAATCCTTTGTTTGTTTTCTGGACGGTAGACAAGTAGTTGTACGACTAGTGAATGGTAAAAGTTTTACAAAAAGTATCCTAAAGATCTTGTAGGGACATTTATCTGAGACACTGTTTCTTCTTTGCGAACATATGGACCTTGCTGCATTCTGCAAACCTCCTTGTATGCATGCACTGACACCCAATACCTTTTGGTATCCCAAACATGCTATGTATAAATATATACATGATATTGCATAGCAGCTGTTATCTTTTGCCTGAAGTATTTTTGTGCTGGGAAAATGATTTGGTCTTCATTTTATTGAATAATTTCTGTCACTTGCGAAAGATCTGCATTGAAAGGACACTTTGTAAATGGCCTGCATTAGTGACTTCAAAATGCCTCCGCCCCCTTAGACCTTCTTGTTTGTCTCTATATCTACTCCTTTCAGATCATCAAAATACATTTTAAAATCAAATGCAACATTTTGTTATTTGAGGAAAAAAGCTATTTCTATGCTCTATTTAATATAATTAAATATAAAGGACACATAGGGCCATAATAATGGAAATCATAATGTAAAAAGCGTCTTTTATGTTTTCTGAAGTTATGTTCTCTAATATTAGTTGGATCTGAAATATAAAACTAAAGTAAAAGTTATGTGACAGAGCACATGCAAATGTTTTTATAAAAACATTTGCAAGGAGTATGATGCATAAAACTGTTTTTTGTGTGTTTTTGTTTTGTTTTAATCCTTATTTTACCTAATTCAAAGCCAAATGGAAAATCAACCTACTCACAATTTGTTGGACTGGAAATCGTGGGAGTTCTCAGTTTCAATGCAATTAAATATTTTACACTAGCATTACACTCAATAGTTGAACTGTTGATCACCTGTTAGAACAGATTACACTGATTACCACTGATTTTTTTTTGCTTTCAAATTAGAAAGTCATTTGTTACCGAAGCTAAATGGATCCAGTATGCTGGCATCTAGTCTCATTAAATCAGCTGAAATTATTTTTAACTGATACACTAAACAATTCACACAAAGTATTGCATCAAGGTAAAGCATTCCTCCAAAAGTAGGTCAGTTACTCCCAATGACTCCAAAGTCTCGTATTTTCATGCAGAAAATGCACATTGGCCCCAAGCATAATTATATTTAGTTGGTCCCTGACTCAGACTAGAGTGAAGAGAACTTGATGCACCAACAAATGTGGAAGAAGATAATACATTTAACCACTTCCTGTTGAAAACTCCCAGTGCACACCCTCCCAGTTGTTGAAACATAAACAAAAAGCTCCCAAGATTGTGCTCTTTCCCATACCCTTCTAGCCTCTAAATGCACATATTACTTTTTTTTCCCTAGATAGACTAGTTGATTAAGGTTACTTATATTAAGTCTGATGATCAGAGATGGACAGATATTGGGTGTCATGTCCCTGAGCATTCACACCAGAAGTCTTTAAAAATGATATTAAATTTTTCAAAGGAATTAAACGCAAGACAACAAATTTCAGTCAGCATTTGGGAATACAAAGAGGAAAGATGTGGAAGCTTTTTATTTACCTTGGCAGGGCTTGGACTCACATGAAAGGTCTGAGGCGTGTCAGTTTGTAAAGAGAGTAATAGTAACTGAGACGCTGCTGTCTGCTGCCAAACTGTTGGGAGGAAGCTGAGACCTGAGAGCCCCGCCGGGCCACTCAGGGACTCTGAGAAAGCGCAGGTTGCTCTCTGATTACTGCGGAATAAAAGAACCAAACAGGTGTTGTTTTCCTTCTGCACGCACAATCTGCCACAAGGGGACCGTGGACGTTCTTCATGATCACAAGTCTGTCGAGATCGGCAGCAGTGTTATCTGCGTCGTCTGATAGAAACTTGGCCTCTGCGCTTGTACCACGAAGCAGTTTCCATGAGTGTAAAAGAGTAATGAAGAGAGGCGTCCAGCAAATGTGACCTGGTGCTCACCTCCGAGTGAGACGTCATTCAGGAAATGTTTGACTTTGGCTCTGGATAATTCATGCCTGTTGTTGGGTGGAGTTTGGGAGTGGAAAATAGTCCCTTATTACATGTTACTGAAAAGCCTGAGGAAAATATTAAGTTTGCTTTTATCAGTTTTCATGTCTGGATCCATTTATCTTAGGTAAGTTTGGGAAATAGAAACTGGACGTAAAGTAGTGCTTAAATTTCCAGTCTCTGTTTTTTAAAAGAAATAAAATAAAGCCTTTTGTATTGATTTATATATTTGTGATATATTTGTATGGTTGTATTTATTAACATAATTTTGCAGCTGAAATTACAAAAAAATGCTTTAATGTGAATGTTTGCCAGTTTGTAACAGAAATGATTTGGACAAAAAGGATCAGAATCAGGAAAAATATTTGTGGTAGATGGGGAAATAAAAATTTCTCATGTGTTTGAGAATTAAACTCTTTTTTCTTGAAGAAACAAAGCATCTAGTCTTCGAAGGGAACAGCTAGTATTATCTGTATATCTATATTTAGTTCATCGACAATTTGCCGCTGGTGTAAAATTGTAGCTGTGTGACTGTGGAAATGATTATTTCTTTCTGTATTATTGGAGTGTTTGAGCTTCTCCCATGACCGCTCAGCTGATCTCCACCGAGAGCATAAATCTGTTCTAATCCTGTCAGGCATTCAGTGGAGCTGACATTTCTTAGTTCCAGAGGAAAATATGTTGACAATAATTACTGTTTTAAAGCAGCAGGTTTGTTGACGTCCGGTGAAGAAGTTGGGATATAAAATTGGTCAAAGCAGCAAAACATTGGCTAGTGAAGGTTTGTAATTGTGAGCCACAAACTTCAGAAAAAGGATTTTAGTAAAATACTTTTTAACAAATGTTTTTATATTTAAAAAGATTAAAAAATATATTTAGACTAAAATATATTTTTCACAATTAGTTATTATTTTTGTTTGAATCTTTCTACAACTAATTGATAAAAGTTCAAAACTGTAGCAGGAAACAAAATCCTAGGGATTGGTTAGTTTTATTTACAAAATGCAGCTATCAGTAAGTTTTACTTTAGACTTTTTTCAGCACTCCAATTTATAAAGGTACTAAGCAGCAGACATAAGTTTGAAAATCTCAATAGTTGAAGTTAAAACCCATTTGTCCCACACACAACAATGCTACTTGCCTTGTATTTTCTCTGACGATTTTTCTTTTCTTCTCGTTCCACAGACATTTAATCATGAAAGGATACAGCAGCTAAAACTTTAGTTCTAGCAGTGGGAACAAGAAAAGCTTGGGCCGAGTCACAAAGGAGAAGGCAAAGTTTTCAAGGAACTGGGACTCTGTTGCAATCAGAGCAGATGGGCGAGACGGAGGACGAGCGGACGGCTCAGGCCAGCCAGCTCTTTGAGAACTTTGTCCAGGCGTCCACATGTAAAGGAACCCTGCAGGCCTTCAGCATCCTCTGCAGACAGCTGGAGCTGGATCCTTTGGACCACAGCAACTTCTTCAGCTCCTTGAAGGCAGCAGTCAGCTCCTGGAAAGTCAAGGCCTTGTGGACAAAATTAGACAAACGGGCACAGCAGAAAGTGTACAACCAGAATAAAGCCTGCCAAGGAACAAGGGTGAGACCATGTTGAAAACTCAGTTAAAATCAAAAGGTTTTGTCAAATTACTTGTTTGAGCTCTTTTACTATGTGTTTTTGGTTTTTAGAATGCAAAGTAAAATTAGAAAAAAATAAACCTTCTTGATTTTAACCCATTCAGGAGGGTTAAAAAAAAAAGTTAACAGAGATATGACTAATCACAGCAAACTGATCCACCAGTATTCCCAGTTGTTGAAGATGTCCTAGTTTGGTTAGATTTAACCCCTTTGCTGGAGACACAAAATTATGAAAAAAAACAAAAACAAAACAACAAATTTTTGCAATGGGTTATAGAACCACATAAAATTAAGCACTTGAACAAGCTTTTGTAACAGAGATAACTTGCATGACTTCTTTAAAAGGTGGCCCAATTTGGAAGAGGTCTTTGATAGCAGCTATATGTGGCCTTGAAAGAGTAACTTATTAATAAGTAATGTACAATCTGATCCCGTGATTAAACATTCTAGCCCAGAAAGGGTCAATCATAGAAATGTCAAACCCAAGCAATATGCAATCAGGCTGAAATCAGGTGTTGATCAGTGTTCAGCTTTATAGTGGTCTTCATGGAGTCCATCAGACTTTGATGATGTTGAAACGTCAGTCTCAATGAAGTTTGCAAAATAAAAGCGGTAAACTGGTCAGCGACTTCCTGCCCTTTCTGCATTTGAAAAAAACGAAGCTAGGCTTGTTTGCACCTGGCTCAAAAGAATTAATAATCTCAGCAGCTTAGCATCAAGTCTTACAGGGTTGGATCATGCAGGGCAATTAGCCGCAAGCGACAAGAGCAGGAAACACTGGTTTATGGCACAAACAGACAAAGCCATGGAGTATTTCCCGGTTTAACTGTACTGCATAACTCCTAAAAAGACTCAAAACACAGTTTGTAAACTAAACTCTCAAATTTGGCATTTCATGTGCTGTTTTGTTGTTTGACCATGTATGTAGGCATGTTTAGGCAGCACTTTTGACGTTGTATTGGAAAGACTTCATATCTCAAGGAAGAGATAAGACTTTAAGTGAGGGGAGGGGAAGCGGGCCAGAGACTTGCAGAAGGGAGATTAACCCAGAAGGGCTGGGTTGAGGCCTAGCCAGAAATAACAGCTCAGCTATTATTCCAGACATTTTTTCTGGAGAAAAGGCTATTTGGAGATGAAGGATGGTGGACATGGAGATGGGCGGGTGTTCTCTGAAGCAAAATCTAAAATCCAAATGAGAGGACAGCATTCTTCAATCCCTGCAACTCAATTGTCTCCATATTTGGCTGTGTTGCATGCAAGGGGGGGAGTAGCATGCATCAGACCATGCTCCTCAAAACACTTGCTAAGCACTACAGTTTAATCTCAAATGCCAAACTTTTCTTTAGTATTGCCTCTGTTCCTATTTCTATGTGATAGGGAGCAGAAACTTTAATCCACACTGATGGTGTGCACCTACTTGCACAAAAGAAAAATGTGACTGCACTGTATATGTATTTACACAGCATCATCTCAGGACAGTTTCTGTGTTCAAACGGAACATCCTACTCAGAGTTTCCACCAGAAAACTTTCTAAGCCTGGTGCCGAGGCGGTCCACCATGTTTTTGTACTGAAAGATGTTAAGTAGACAGGAAAAGTAAAAATATTACTGAGTAATTATATGTTCCGGGAAAACAGTGAAACGATATTTAAACCCACAACTAGTCTTAAAAACAACAAATCAAAAAACACGGTTAAAATGAATATTGATTATTTTCACTTTTGTTTAATCCACATTAAGCGGCTCCATAAGGCCCCCCAGGGTTCAGGGGCCCATAAATGCTGATATTTTTAACACAGACCACAGATGCATAGTACATTTATTTATTGAGATGATCAATGCTGATAAATTTCTACCTGCTCAGACTGTATCTCACCCTCACTCATTTCATACCTTCTGTGACTCCCAGTGTCTGATCATCGGCGGCGGCCCCTGCGGGCTGCGAACGGCCATCGAGTTGGCCCTGCTCGGCTGCAAAGTGGTGGTGATCGAGAAGAGGGACACCTTCTCCAGGAACAACGTGCTCCACCTCTGGCCCTACACCATTCATGACCTCAGGGCTCTCGGGGCCAAAAAGTTCTATGGAAAGTTCTGCGCCGGCGCCATCGACCACATCAGTGAGTGTTCTCTCTTCTGGTTGCTTTATTTCAGTTCCAAAACTAGAGCTGCCTTTAAGTAAGTCGTAAAGAACAACAAGCTGAATGAATGTCGATAACGGCAAAAGGATTTGTTTTTACTGTGTGTGTAGAATCGTTATCAAGGAAGTAGACTTCTGCTTCTACTTCTACATACAGAGAGATAAAAAGTTTCTCTCTCTGTATGTTTGTAGCAAAATGGCGTATTTGAGAGGAGTGCTTATCTTATCTTCCAGGTCGCCCTTATCTGCAGCAACTGTTATATATTATTCTCTTCGGCTGAGTGTACGACAACAGCTTTACCTCTCACTTCTTTTAAGGGACAAACTGACTTTGTTCCTGAAAATAGCAGATTTTGAGCCACAATGCATCATCGGAGCCCTGTAATTAGCTCCACCAATCTAACAGCCTGCTTTGATAAGCTAAAAAAGATTCTCCACACCATGATGCTGCCACCACTGTGTTTCACTATGGCTATACAGGATCATTTTTAGTGTTCCTTTTCTGCCACATAATTCTTGCGTGAAATACAAAAAAGAAAAAAAAAAGTGGAGCATTTTTTTTTTACGTATTTGCCATGTCCCCCTACAGAATTTATGACAAACTGCAACTAGAGGATTTTCTGGATTAATTTCAACATTGGATATCTTCGTCCTGTTAATCCCTGCTGCTCGATCAAAATCACCATGAGTTTATCATGTGCTTTTATGATAAATGTTCTCCTTTTATGTTTATTTAAATGGCCATATCTCGGTAGGGCTTCAGTTAGAGTTAAAGCCCTTAAACTCCAACTGCTACATTCTTATGTTTTCATAATGCGTCCTTATTAGTATTCTTTAACAAACCTCTCATGTTGCTCAGAGCTGTATTTGTATTGAGATTAAATTATAAATGAACAGACTTCTGAGAGCAGCAGGTAGCACAGGGTTTTATTAATGGGTATCAATGTAAAAATAGCACCGTTTGCTCCCTCTTCAGGTATCCGCCAGCTGCAGCTGATGCTGCTGAAGGTGAGCCTGATGCTGGGAGTGGAGATTCACGTCAATGTGGAGTTTGTAAAACTTCTGGAGCCTCCGGAGCAGCAAACGGAAGATGGTGAGTCATCTGCGTTGAATGTTAACCTTCTCTGTACAGTTCTGAGATGACATTTATTTGTTTGTTTTTGGGAGAAGAAAGCACCTTTATTCCATGAAGATCCTGGGTAATAATATTTTGAGAATCCACTCTTAAGAGAGTAGTTTCACACCTCCAAATTAGTCTCCAATACAAGTTCTCAACAAGTACAGAAACAGAAGTCTGAATGTTTAAACAGGGTTGACCCTGTTTAAAAGGGTCATGACCAGCAGTGACATGATGGCACTTGCTTGCACATGTCAGCTATATAAGGAAAGCTCTCTTCATGTCATGAAGAAATGTTGAAGTGAACAGATAAGTTCTTGCAGAGTGGAAAATAAAGCTATTGATAGACCCTGCTCTGTTTTCCAAAGCAATTCCTAAGAGACAGTCACATTTTAGCTCTCTAAAGAACACAACAGAAGAGTTTTATAGACTTTATTAATAAGCCGCCTTAAATTGGGGCATTTTTTACATCTGTCGCTGTTACATCTGAATTTTCCCTTTGCGAGACAATAAAGGTTGCTTCTATTCTAATGAGACAGGAATGGAAAACAACTTATTTTAACTTTGATTTTGTTCCAAGTATTCCATTAATCACACATTTTATCTGTCTTCTTAGGTCCTGGTTGGCGAGCAGAACTCCGGCCCTCCGATCATCCAGTCTCTGACTTTGACTTTGACGTGGTGATTGGTGCAGACGGTCGCCGAAGCACATTAGATGGTGAGGGATGACCTTAACTCATTGTGGGGGAGTAGGTGCTGACAACGGGTTCAACATGAGAGACAAAGAAAGTTTTGCTACTGACCCACATTGAGGAAGCTCTTTCTGGTACTGAAGCATTTCCTGTTGACATAGTTTCAACTGAATGTGTTTTCATGTGGTTGTGTGTGTGTGACGGTTCATAAACTGGATGAGAGCTGATACCTTTCTGTCCAAGAATAATAAATAAGTCTCATGCTTGTTTGTTCAAGAAACTGTATTCTAAATAAGTAGCCATAAAAGTATTTGCATGTCTTTTTTTCACATACATGGTCTTGACCCATTGTGAGACTTAATATTAAATCTGATCACCCTTTGCAATTTTAGTGGCTTCAATTATTTTAGGAAATCTCTCTTCAAAGTGTACGACTTTATCTTTGGGAGTATTTGGCAATTGTTTTCCAGAGGAGTTTATGAGTTCAGTCTTGGACAAGGCTCAGAGTTTGTGCTCTTATTAATTCCTAATAGTGATCAGTTGGGTTGAGGTCAAAGATTTGTGCAACCTTTTGAGATGTTTATAAACATTATTTTACACTGGTGTGTAATAATTTGGAACAGGAAGTCCCCAGACCAGTCCTTCAAAGTTTGGATAATAATATTTTCCTAAATGTCTTGGCATGCAAAAGCATTATGAGTTGCTTTCACTTGAACCATGGCGCTTAGATCAAAGTCCAGAAAAATACCCCTACACGATCTGCTCCACACTAAAACACAGCACAGTGTAGCCAGTCTCCTGACAACTGCCAAAACCAAATTATTTTGATTTGACTAGACTTCCTGCGAGGAACTCATTCTTTTCCCAATGTTTGTAGAAGCAATCTGCACATCTAGGTATTGTCTTTTATACATCCTGGCCTCGGAAATTATTAGAAAACATAAAATTCAGTGATTTAGAAGGATAAGTGATTAGCTCCCCGCATGGGTATGCATGTGTTAATTAGAAACAAATAGGAATTTGTATTCTTCCCCCTTTCATTCCTCATCCCTTTTTGGCAGGTTTCAGTCGCAAGGAGTTCAGAGGAAAGTTGGCAATCGCTATAACAGCCAACTTCGTCAACAGGAACACCACAGCAGAAGCTAAAGTTGAGGAAATCAGTGGCGTCGCCTTCATCTTTAACCAGAAATTTTTTCTGGAACTTAGAGAGGAGACAGGTAAATTGTGTAAAGGTGTCAAATTATATGCATGATCTGCAGCTCTAAAGGGATCTGTGTTAAACAACATGCTAACATTTTTAGGAATTGATTTGGAAAACATTGTTTACTACAAAGACAACACCCACTACTTTGTGATGACTGCAAAGAAGCAGAGCCTGCTGGACAAAGGGGTCATCATAAATGTGAGTTCAGTAATCTATTGCGTTGATGCATCAATATTTAAGCTTTCTTTACCGGTTGTTTCTGCCAGTGACGAAACAAAATATTCTACAATTAGTGCATTAACTAAAATTAGCCTAAATGCTAATGTTAGACTAAATGCTCTCAGTGGCATGTGGGACATCACTAGCATCTTACATTGACTTCCTCCATTCAGTGCGCTAAACGAGGTTAATGAATAAAAAAATAGCCAATAGCTTATTTTAGGAAATAAGCTAGGGAAAAGGCACATTTTTGTGGTAATGTTTACTTTGTGGCATTTTGTTCAAAAACCATATAATTTCCTCCGCTCTTTTGAAATAATACTATTGGTATGCAAAAGCATTATGAGTTGCAATAATACTATTGGTATGCAAAAGCATTTTGAGTTGCTTTCACTTGAACTATGGTGCTTAGATCAAGTCCAGAAAAACACCCCTACATGATCTGCTCCACACTAAAACACAGTACAGTGTTGTCAGCCAATTTTCAAAAGAGAGGGGAAATATCTAAGATTTCTGCAGTTGGTAAATTATGCAGGAAAGTGATATTTTTCTGTCTTTTTTTGCCTTTGGTGGTAAATGTATTATAGAACAGACATTAAACACGAAAGTAAAATTCTGATTCATACTTCGTCGCAGTTCATTACCAGAAAAAAAACAAAAAACGCTCATCTGTCAGCATCAAATTAATAACACATTATATTGTTGTTCATGAAACATTAGTTCTTTTGAAATATTGTTTATTTGCTTAGACAACAAATTTACTGTCGGTTAATTTTGCAAAAGTAAAAATCAGATGTTTACTGTGTGGAATTTAGTTACCAGAAAACACGCTCATCTCTTAGCAACAGATTGACAAATAATATTGTTATTGTTCAAAAACCATAAAATTTCCTCCGCTCTTTAGAAATACTACTAATCTTACACTATCTAAGAATTCTGCAATTGGTGAGTTTTGCAGGAAAGTGATTTATTTTTTTGGCTTTAGTGGTAAATATAGAACAGACATTAAACACAAAAGTAAAATTATGATTCATACTTTGTGGCAATTCGTTACCAGGGAAAAACCCCAAAACGCTCATCTCTTAACATCAACTGTAACATGTAATATTATTGTTTATACTGTCAGTTTGTCAATTTTGCAAAAGTAAAAATCAGATGTTTTCTTTGTGACACTTAGTTACGAAGACTTGCTCATCTCTTAGCAACAGGTTAACAACAAATATTGTTGCTGTTCAAAAAAATATGTTTTTTTTAATACTACTAATGTGATACTTCTTTGGAATTTTGCTGAAAAATTATTTCTTTTTTTGCCATTGGTGGTGAATATATTATAAAACAGACAATCAACAACAAAGTAAAAATTAGTTTGTTTAAAAAAAACTCAACTCTTAACACCAAATTAATAGCAAGTAATATTATTGTTTATAAACCATAAGCTCTTTTGAATCTCAGGTTTCAGAAGAGCATACGTTTCTTTTTGATGTTTTGATTGGGGACATTAGTTGCATAACTCCTGTGAAGTGGATAATAATCTGACATGTTTCTGCCCAGCTGTGGTTGAGTTTTTTTTGGGAGGTTTGTTTTCTTTAGCTTCTTGCATAATTTTCACAGGGATTAGAGGAGAATGTGGTGTAAAAATATCTTAATTTGTTCCTGTTAAGTGGTGGCACACAAACAGCGCTGGTAGAAGCATACTGTTTAAGAAAGCAGGCAGCTGATTGTTTTGTCACTGAGCTTTATTTCAAAAGTATCACTGCTTTAATATGCTTTAAAGTTTGTTTTGCTACCTTTAGTGTTAATAAAAATGAAAGAAGCTTGCTTATTCTGTTTTTTTTTTTAAATAAAAATTTATATTTTTCTAATGACATTCTTTTACAAGCCAGAAAATCACAACATTTAAAGTGAAGTCCCAAAGCTGGGAGTCAGATGGCCTTCTGGGAACAGAACGGTTTTGTGTGCTGACCGGTGTAGTGAGCGATAGCACTGCACAGCAGATTATGATAAATAGGGCTCTAATTAAAGCATTACACCTCTCACCTTTATTCCATTTCTCACACGGCAAATAAAAATAAACGTTCCTTGCATTGGAAGAGATCAGACAGCAGAAATGGTTATTTGCAATTAAGAGTAAACTTCAGAGTAAACTTGCAATTGTTATTTGAAAATCTTTCGTTAATAACATGCATTCTTATTATGTAATTTTGGAAATAATCCACAGTGCAAACTTTTTCCAAATGCATTATCCAAGCACATTCACAGGTGTTGAAGTGCTGCACTGCCGATGTAAGATGAGTGGTCTTCATCTCATCTTACATTGGCTATTGGTGCTGAGTGAAATCTCCCTCCGACTGCTGGGTCAAAACCCACAGCACAAGCGTCAGAGGCCACATGGCTGACCTATAACGGCGCCATCGCTTTTTGTCACCATGACACTAATGCAAGGATTGCATTTACCACTTTTTACACAAACAGAAATGTTTTCTGTTGAAAGAGAAGCTCCATGAATTAACCTATAGCAGCTAAATGTTATAAATAGGCTATTTTTGAAAACAGTTTATGCACTTGTGTAATATTGTAAAATATTTGTTTTAAGTTTTGGGGCTCTTCTTCTTGTTCCAGGACTACATAGAAACAGAGCGACTGCTGAACTCTGACAACGTTAACCAGGAAGCATTGCTGTCGTACGCTCGTGAGGCTGCAGACTTTGGCACCAACTACCAGCTGCCATCACTGGACTACGCCATCAATCACTATGGGCAGCCAGACGTAGCCATGTTTGACTTCACATGCATGTACGCATCAGAGAATGCCGCCCTGATAAGAGAGAAACATGGACATGAGCTACTGGTTGCACTGGTGGGAGACAGTCTTCTCGAGGTAAGAGACACTGTTTTTGCATACGTGTGTGTTTTGACAGGGCAGGAATAATTATTGTACTTTTTCTTCTTTGACACAATGTATTTTTTTTATTGCAGCCCTTCTGGCCAATGGGTACTGGTTGTGCTAGAGGCTTTCTAGCTGCTTTCGACACTGCTTGGATGGTGAGGGGCTGGGCACAGGGAAAGAGCTCTTTGGAGATACTGGCAGAGAGGTGAGGATGCATCACTTCCCGCAGATTGAAATTAGTGTAGTTTTATCACTCTGTTGAGTAAGGACATATTGTGATGTTCAAATGACACGATGCTTGTGTAGTTTGTTTAATATGTCTAGCTTAATTTTTGCACAGCTTGAGTTGATTAGTCGGCATGTGACTTCTTCTGGTGAATAAGAATCCAAAGCTTTGAATTTGAAATATTGTCTGTCTGAGACTCTTATTTTGAAGTAAGAAAGGAAGTAGTATTTGAGCCATCTTATTTTGATAGATACAAATAAGCAACTAACATGCCGTGTTTAAAATGTGTCACCCTTCTCTATCAGGGAGAGCATTTACCGTCTGCTTCCTCAGACCACACCGGAAAACATCAGTAAAAACTTTGATCAGTATACAATTGATCCTGCTACCCGATACCCGAACCTGAACTCCAGCTGTGTACGTCCTCACCAGGTTGGTGATTATTTTCCAAAGTTGTATTCAAAGGGACTTTGAATACAAAAAACCCCAAAAAACTAATGGCCTCCTTATCTATTTGCAAGATTGGACATGTTTTAGCTGAGTTCAGCAACAATCGCCACAAAGTGAGATCAAATCTCCCATTCCTCTGCATTTTCAGATGAAAACAAGAAGTAGTGCCTGTGCATCCACTATGTTATAGCACGGAGATGCTTGTGTTAAAAATGAAAGCTGTTAAAAGAAACTTTGATTTCACATCTTTTTAAAAGTGATTTCTTACGGCGCAGGCTTTTGTTCAGCTATTGTGAAATATTAGTTTGCTGGGGCTGCCTTAAATCACTGAAGTGGTTCAAATACGTGTTTACATCAAGCTTTTAAACTAGAAATATTTTGTCACCCATGCCTAAATGTTTCTTTCAGGTGCGTCACTTATTCATTGATGGTCATTCGGGTCTGGTTGAAAAAGGAGGGCTGTCACAAAGACCAGTTAACCTCTCTAGAAAAGGTAAAAATTTTTAAAAATAATAAAAATGCATTCATAAGCCAAACTCTAGAGCCAATCTACTTTTTTTAAAAAGGCTTCAAGGAATTAGGGATTTCTTAAGATGTGGGAGTTTTTCTTTTCTGTTTTTTGGTTCCTCTCCATTCATTGTCATCAGAAACTTGGAAAATTTCAGCATTCTGAAAGGAAAAATTGAGAATGAAATAGAAAAAATAAAAATGTAAAGTGTGTTTATACTGTAGCAAAAAAGCAAAGGGCTTAGAATTTCAGATCTCGAAACAAACTCATCAAATCAGACACGGCGAACTGCAGCTCTACACTTTATTAAACGTGCATATTAATAAACATTTCAGGGTGATTTAAGCTTTGAATGAGTCTGGAACCTCAGTCACCCAGAGTGATGTACCTCTGGACTTCATGACATCATCTCTAAAGTTTATTTTTTGATTGACTGACTGAGTCAGTGCTGGAAGATAATTTATGAAGTTAGTCACTGGCAACTTGTGACATGTTGACTTCACGTTCTGTCTAATGTTTACGATCACCGGGTCTTTGCTTTGTGTTTATATTTAATTAATATCTGAGTGAAAAGTCTGACTAACCTTTCACGTTGTGTTGTGGAAAATAATGAACATTAAAGTGAACGTTTCCCCAGCCCTCTCTCTGCTGACACTTTACCTCTGCCTGAGTCACAGGCTTGGCGCACCTCGTCAGACAGTACTGCCGGGTAACATTACTCTCATATGAGGGTCAGAACTGATGCCTTTCACAGACGTGTGCTGGCATGATGTGCTCTAGTACCAGTTTTAAAACTGTTCAAGGGCCTGTCCTGACAAGTGTGGGCTCATTGAGAGCAGAGCCTCCAGAAGGAGTAGTTATATCACTTACCTGGTGATAAATTGAGAACAGGAGATGTTGTAAACCTCAGGTTCTTGAGCACAAACGTATCCAGGAACTTCACAGCACAAGCACAGTCCCAATTTCACTTTCTGAAAACTCTCTGTAAGATCAATTTATTCAGGATCATCTGACGTCATTCTAAAGTAACTGGACTTATGGCAGATTGATGTGGTCAATCGGAAAGTAACCAGCAGAAACCAACCTGACCTAAAAGGCACTTACTTTATAGTTAGGAGATACCTTAGTGCTTCAGAATGTTTTTTTTAATTCATAGTTTTATTATTGGTAAATTAAGTTTCTTTGTTTATTTTATATACTACTTACAATAAGAAAAAGTCTTTATATTTTCATATGCTACATTAATAACAGAGCCATCTCTTCTGTAAACAAATCCTTGTTTGGCTTGTCAGATTGCATGAAAGTGTGTAAGTTCTGGTTGTTTTCTAAGTAGGACATATCGGGACAAGTTTCTGCTCTACTGCCAAGGTTAGTCCTGGTTTAGCTTCAGAAAGTGGACCAGCTCGCTTGGCTCAAGTCCAAAAGAACACGCAGTTCGAACATTACAGCAGCGACACCATTTCAGAAAACTTTCCAGTCCGGACAAAAATAAAACACACTGGGGAAAGCAATACAGGGACGCTTTCTGTCACAGAAATGTTGTTCCTTCCTTTGACGCTGTGCGGCAATCTTGACTGTATGTACCAACATGTCATTTGTTTCTTGCAGAATCTGAGGTGCGACCTAGTCGACTCCTAACCTGGTGTCAGAATCAAACTCAGGGATACAGGGGAGTGGATGTCACCAACCTCACATCATCCTGGAGGAACGGTCTGGCCCTGTGCGCCCTCATTCACCGGCAGAGGCCTGAACTCATGTGAGGATGCACACAGACGGACACTCGGCACATTCAGGAAGCCCGTTGAGTTGTGGTTCAAGGTCTGCTTCAATGTTCAGGATGATACTCATCCTTTACAAAACGTTGTGCAAACAGTATTTAGTGTTCTGAAGCTTTATTTCAAATCTTTAACTAAGCATGAAGAATCCCTGAGATTTTGTAAAGTCACCATTTCTGAAACATTTATCAGTTTGCCAAACCTTACAGTTGAATGTGAATTTGCAAATTCTCTGTTCAGATCATATCGGAAATAAATCTCAATCATAGACAGGCTGCCTTGACACTTCTTGTTTGTTGGGTCTGCTCCTTCCTAAGAGCTAAGAAAATTGCTTCTTTATGTAAATAAAAGCTCAAAACTAATTGGGTCTCTTCAATAAATTCAAAATACAAATTGTATATAAAGAAATCTCACATTTGATCTCATCCTCCAGTGACTTTGACTCCCTGAACGAGGAGGATGTGGCGAGGAACAACCAGCTGGCGTTTGATGTGGCTGAGCGCGAGTTCGGCATCCAGCCGGTGACTACAGGAAGGGAGATGGCTGGCAGAGCTGAACCAGACAAGCTGCTGATGGTCCTCTACCTCTCCAAGTTCTTTGAGGCCTTCAGGAAGTCATCGCTGAACAACAATGGTCCGTCTTTGTAACAGTTGTTTGTTGATTCATGAGGTTTTTCGGAGATGTTAGGACAATCTTCTTGAAATGCTTGAGGCAAATTTTACTAAGGTAATTTCAATTTCAACTTGTTTTACAACACGTTTAAAATGAATTTAAAAGAATTTTTAAGTCTAGTGTTTGAGGAGGAAATCAAATCTTCAAATCAAATCAGAGGAAAATTTGCTCCGGCTTGTTCTCGTTTTTTCCTGTTGAGTGACAGACGTTCCTATCTAGCCAGGGCAAATGACAAATGCAGCACCTTATCAAAACACTTTAGAGCCTGAAGGACTGTGAGCACGTTTTCCTTTCTATCTGCCACACAGGCTTCAGTTGCATGTTACACAACTGTGGTCAGGTTGGTCCCTGCCAGAAACCATACTGGTATGCATGCTATGTTTGTGGAAGCCTATCCGGTCACATCCGTGTAACTCCAGAGGCCTTCCTCGCTGATCACTCCACCACTGCTGGCAACTGCCTCTGCTTCAGTTTTCATATGTAGCTCTAAATGTTCAGCAGACGTCTGTAATTCAAATCTCTGAAAGCCAGAAAAAATTACAGACTGTAAATGAGCTTTCTCACAGTCCGTTGTGACTGATTATTCTCAGATTATTGAGGAGGTTAGTTGTTTATATAAGGACATTAATGAGGTTTGTATGTTTTTTTTTTAAAGATTATTTTCAAATAATTTCCACTGTAAATATTAGCTTACTTTCAAATATTCAGTGAGAATTCAGATGCCGCCTCTAAAAACCGCTACTTCAGTGTTATTGCAATCTGTTCTTCTGAAAGTGCTTGTGCTGGCTTCAGCTGTCCCATTTCTTCACACAAGTAGTTATTATAAATTCACCAATTTTATACAAAACAATCTTGCGGTAGTTGACTTAAGTTGCTGAGTGAAAGTCTCACCCTTCTCCAATCAGACAGTATTTCACTCCAGAGACTTGAACCACAGTAAAATAATCAACCAGTAAAGCATTACTTCAAGGAAATGTTCTGTCAAAACTAGGGCTGGGACTTTATTGCATTAATTTTGATTAATTAATATAGAGTAGGGATAGAGATTTTAACCTGCTAAAGGTTTTAATGCAGTTAATTGCATTTTTGCTTACATGTAATAGTCCAAAGCAAACACAGATGTCCCCATTTCCAATGTCAGTGTCCACATTCTACATTTCCAAAAGGTTTTTGTTTCAGAGGTTACCTGAGTGATCAGGGGTTCCTGGAGCATTTAAAAGCTGAATGAGTATAATGGCCCTTTGCACCAATCTGATGGTTAAATATTTGTTGTTGAGCTCAAATGTCAATTTATTCAATAATTTAGTAGCAAAGGTGTTTTTTAGTTGAAATTATTAGTTATTTCGTCTACTTGTGGTTTTTCAATTAAAATGCGATTTATTAATTATATACCCAGCAATTAATTCAATTTAAAGTTTGAGTCAGTCTAGATATTGTTTCCTTACGTCATTTGGCTTTAAAATGTCACTTCAGGCAAATGCTGCCCAGGTGAAGGATGGAGAGAAAGATGAAATACTCAAACTGCATCTGCAATAAAAATGTTCATTGCTTTGGTTTTGTTAATTTGGCTCAAACACAGGGGGGTGAAATCATGCTGCTCCAGCTAATTATGACTGTCACTGCAGCAGCCTGGCTATTAGCTCTGCTTGAGTTATCAGTAGTGGCCATAGCATAAACTGCTATGGATTGCTCTTCTTTTTCTCTCTTTGAGTTCAATGTCTCCATTGTTTCATAATGACACAAGTCTTCTCCAACAGAGAGACAATTTTTGGGGCTTAAGACAAGCCCACTTGTCAAACCCCACAGGTGTTGCACAAAAGTTGGAAGAACTGATGAGTAACGGGTATAAATGTCTCGGCTTTCTATGTTTTCATTATAAGTTTTACAAAAAAATCAGGCAGTTAACCAGTAATGGTAAATGGCCTGTGTTAATATAGCACTTCACACTAGATTCACCCATTCACATGCTATGGGACTAACTTTAGTCACATCTTCTCTTGCAACATTAATGCTTCCTGAAACTGATAACCAATAATTGCTGTTTGTTTGTTCTACAGTCCCCAAGGATCCAGATGAAAATGGTGAAGAACATCCACCTAAATCCAACCACAAGGTGCTGAACCTGCCTCTGCCCAGGAAGAGGATACCCAGGGTAAAAATGTTTACATTTCCTTGAAGTGCATGCAAGGCATTATCTTTTACCCCAACAATGTAGCAGTTTGCCATTATATCTATGTACTCCTTCAAATATCAGCATTTGATTAGAGGAACCATAGGTAGAGAAGTTGTTCAATACAGTCTCAGTGCAATCTCCTTTTCAAGTTTAGTATCCATTTTCCTAAAAGACAGTAAAGTTATTTTTGAAGTAGTCCAGTCAATGGCTGATACACTTGTTTTTTTTTTTAATGCTAGGATTATTTAAATACAAGGTGTATTAATCCCTCTTTGAGTTAATCTGTAATGTGGGATCCTCTAGGATGAGAAGAAAGCAGAGGACGACTCTGTTAACAAACGGAGACGGAAAGGAAGCGGCTACCTCACAGAGGTATTCATCTGGAAAAGTCTTTTGGATTAAAGCACTAATAAAACTTGAAGGGTTTAGGTTAACAAAGCAACTCGTCAGCCAGCTCTGCTCTGAATCTGACTCCTCTCTGGCCTCAGTTGTCCTGCCATAGTGCGCCACCTGCCGGTGACGATGGAGAGCTGCGGGAGAACAAGGTCCGCTCCATGGCAACTCAGCTGCTGGCCAAATTTGAGGAGAACTCCTCAATAGCAAAGGTGCACACCAAGGTGAGAATAACATTAGAGGTCAAGTTTATACAGTTACACTTTTGAAACAACAAGACCATGAACATTTAAGAACTACCTGACGCTCAAATATCTAAGGTGATAAAAAGTATGATGCGTAGGTGAACTTCCAGACTGGATTTGTGACACTATTGGTTGTGTGTGTGTGTGTGTATCTTTGTTGCTGTATGCTGTGTTGGCAACCAGACCAAGTCTTTCTAAATTGTAAAACCATTAATGATGGGCTGTAATTGATACACACGGTAAAATAAATTTTGCTGGGTAGAAGTTTGAACTTTTGAAGCGAAGCTAGTAACCGGCTGCTTTCACTTTCATGTAATTTTGCTGTTATATAAAATTATTTTATTATTATTTTATTATTTATATTTTCATCAATATAGTCAACTACATGTTTTCTTCCTCTATCACATCTAACTTTAGCACTTATATTTTCCTCTTTGTGTTAGTTTTGGTCTCTAGTAATGTTTTTGTTTCCTTTATTCTACCTTTTATAACATTTTTATCACTTTTCTGTCCTTGAAACAGTCCAAGGACCCATCTTCTCCTCCCTTTTCTCCTCCTTTGTCTCCTTCCACCACCTTTCCATCTTCAGATGAGGAGGAAGAGGAGGAGGAAGAAAACCCCCGTTTTGCTAAACCCAAATATATCCAACCTCTTTCTCCTCTTCCTCCATCTCGTCCCAAATGGCAGGTATTGCCTCGTATCTCCCTGTATTTAAAAAGAAAAGGGTTCATTCTGTGTGAACTCATCCTCTCCTCATCCTCCTGTTTCCAGCCTTCAATCTACCTTCGGTTGCTGGAGAATCCCAGTTCTGTTTCTCAGCAGACCAGTTTCCTCTCTTCTAATTTATATTTTGATCAGAGCAGCCAAAGTCGTTCTCCATCGCCCTCGCACTTTCAGAGCCCTGTAAGTGTTTCTGGCTCTGAACTTTGTCACACAGAAAACTCCCCAAACCGTCCTACCCGTGTGTCTGATCTGTCCGCTTCGGACTCTGATCCGTCATGTGATGCACCTGAGCAGAAGGTGAATTTAATCCTCCCTTCAAATACACATTACTCCGTATGCACTGTCTCACTCTCTATTTCCTCCTGCTTTGATTACCTCCTACTTTCTCCGTAGACTAAAAATCAGAGGTTGTCGACTAGAGAATTTTCACGCAGGAGTATAAAAGAGAGAGCTGTCCTCCTGTCCACCATGTTTCATGGGTCCAACAAACCACCTGCTCCTCCGTCTGTTTCACAGGTTCTGTATCAGATCAGATGCTGGTATTATACTAATCCAAAAAAAGCATGACTTCTCTTTGCTCTTTGCCCGATTCTGCATTTTTTAGGCTCTAAAATTAGAGTGGATGTCTGTGGAGGAGAATCTTAACAGCAACAATAAATGTATGAATATACAAATATCAAAATAAATAACTGCTTTGGCAGAAAAATGCATCACAGGCAGGAAAATAAAAAAAATCTGTGTAACTGTATAATCCAGACAAGATCATTTTAATACCCTTACTCCTCCATAGAGTTCAGGATGTACTTAAGGTAGAGATTTACCTTCAGGACATCCTTATAGAATCACCATTTTGAAGTTTTCTCCAAATAATTAGAAATATATATTAATAATATATATTAGCAAGTTATTGAGGTTCTCCTTGGTCTGTAATAGCCATCTTTCTTTGGCTCTGTAGGTGGAGTCATCTACCTCCTCCTCTCCTTCCACACCATCGCCTCCTCCTCCTCCTCTGACTCTATCTAAAAGCTCCACCATGTTCCCTGTGGTCCACCCTGTTCCTGATCCTGTCGCTCAGACCTGTTTCACCTCTGAACCTAAAGTGACCTCCTCTCCTCTGTCCTGCTCTGAATCTGAACAAACTGAGCAAAACTCTTCTTCTCGTCCTGATACATTCACATCCAGCAACAAAACATGTTCTTCTGCGTCTTCGTCTTGCGTCAGTAGAAATTTCGAGAGGACGAAAAGGGTGGAAAATGAGCAGCAGAGTTTAAAACAAGCTGAGAAGGATCCCACTAAGGTACCCTTAAATCAGCCATGTGCTCCTTTTTGGTGTTATATTCAATAATTTCAACTTAAAAGTATCTGAAAACAGAATTTTATTAAAAATTTTCTACCACTTTAGTACAATGCCTTACAGTTTTACTGTGTGGTGTTCATTTAGTGCACTGCAGCCTGTGAGGGAGAGCGCACCAGAAGAAGTAATCCAAAATCAATTGTTCGCTCTGAGAGCTGTCCCTCTGGAGCTCCTAGTTACAGTAAAGAGGTGCAAGTCCTAAACCTAAGTCCAAACACAATTCAACAGCACATCACCATAACCTTTGATAAATTCTGTTTTTTCCACTCCCGTTTGTCTTCTTCTTTGTATAAATATTAGCGAGTAGTTGGAAAGGTATCATCAGCAATAGAGGCTAAAGCTCAGAAACTGGCCGTCCTTTATGAGACAGACCACAGGCCCAATGCCGCACCGGTAAGATGCATGTAAATGGCTAAAAGACTAATCCAGACTTGGTACTAATGCGAGTTGTGAAAATTTGGCTTGCTAACAAATATTTCTTAACCTTAGTTTTCTGAGCAGGGAATTTATAAGCTAGGAATACATTCCAGTTGCATGAGTGTAGACATGGTTTTAACAGCATAAACCAATGAAAGCATTTATTGCAAACGTTTACTTGGATACCTTAAAGCCAGAATTTTAACCTTCTTCTTGCGAGGTTAACCACAGACGCAGTTAATCTCCATATGGCTAAGAGCTCAAGAAGCTGCAAATATTTAAAGTTGGGAACAGTACAATTCTACCTTGGACTCCTAGATATCCAACATTTATATATATATATATATATATATATATATATATATATATATATATATATATATATATATATATATATATATATATATATATATATATTTCATTGTGACTTTTCATACTCTTTCATTCTGGTTGTGTGTGTGTCAAATACATTCTTCTGATACTAAACCTTACTCTCAACATGTCTCCATGTTGAGTATTGCAAAATACTAAAAAGTCAAGACCAAATTATCACTAATTTTAGAATTTGTAGTGACCTGTTTCTGACTTTGTATCTGTGTGTTTTTTTTTGTTTTTTTTTCTGTTTATCATCAGCTGTTTGTGTGCTGTGCTGCTTTTCTCACTTGGTACTGATGGATATTTCACCTTTTTTTTGACTAATTGAATTCCTTCAAAGTTCTTTTCCCCCCATACAGAACTTATTTTTGACATTTGATATATGAATCAGTGATTTCAAACATTCATTTTCTAAAGGTTTCTGGAGGAAAAACGCCAAGCAACTTCTCACTAGAGCACTTTTCTTATTTCTTCACCTTTTTCTGATCTTTTTCCCCTCAGTGTGTGGTGCGTAAAGATTTCCCTCCTGGACTCGGCGGCAGCGACATCTGCCACTTCTGCTCCAAACGGGTATACGTGATGGAGAGGCTCAGTGCTGAAGGCTACTTCTTCCATCGCGAGTGCTTCCGCTGCGACGTCTGTAACTGCACCCTCCGTCTGGGTGGACACACATTTGATTCACAGGAGAGTACGTCTGAATCATTATAGCTGATTCTTTTATCAAAATAAGAAGTATTCGTGGGAAAAAAAACAGACTTTTTTTAAATAAAAATTTTTGTTTTTATTTGTTTTGTTATTCCATTACAGGAAAGTTTTATTGCAAGATTCACTATGCCCAGCGTCAATACAACACCAGCTGGGGCAGGTTCAGAAGAACGACGGTAAGATAGCTTTTCAAGTGACTTTTGTTTCACACTTTTACGGCTGTTTAAGAGCAGAAAATAAAGTATTGGTAATATAAATGTAGAACAAAATCAATTCAATGAAGAATTCTTAAGAAGCTCAAACAAAACAATTAAAATTCTTATTATATAGATTTGCGAAATTGCTAAAGACCTTTCTGCTAAATTTATTTCACAAACATAACTGGAAATTGAGAAGGAAAAAATAAAAACTAATTATTATTTTACTACTTTAAGTAGAGGTATGTGCACTGATTTTTTATTTTTTTTTTGTTGCATTTTTATCTGGATTTTTGCAGGAAAACCTAAGCCACCTGAAACCCTCGTCTGTGGACAGCGGGATCAGTTCAGCCGCATGCGCCGTCCAACCCGCAGGTACCCTGGTTTCCTTGATTAAGCGCGGCCTGAGCTGGCCGAGGCGTGCTGGTCGGGCTGTGTGTGTGTTGCCTCAACAGCTGTTGGGAAGTGTGTGTGAGTCTATCACAGCTGTGGGGTCCCACGTCAGGAGCTACTCACAGGACTACATATTCCTGTTTGAGCTGCTGAGCCTTGGCTGTCCTCTGCTCTGCACGATGCATGAGATGTTGGGACAGATCTACCAGGAGCCCCAGCTGACTCAGCAGCAAATCTTCAACCAACGGCTTGCCTAGGAGAGGAACTAATAATGATTTACTTATATGTGGCTTATAGGTGGATACGTACATCTTTGCAGCCTAATCAGTTGTGGCTCATTTAAGTCAAAGCTCCAATTACTACCTTCACTTTCTACATTTAAAATCTCCTCAGTTATTTAGACTTTTTGTAAACTGCATTGATCTCACAAACCTACTTTATTGAGACACACGGCTTCTGCTTAGTGGAGGATAAATGTGGCTTTCTTGAATAGTTTTGAGCAGTCAGTATCTTACCCGCAGTAGACAGCAGCAGTTGCGGCTTGAATTAACGAGAAATTTAAGATTCTTGCAAACAGCTAGAGAGAATGGAAAAAGTCTGAAATTATTCATTCTCTAAACTTTCCTATTAGAGCAAATTCTCTTACTTACTTTTATGATTTAGACTTGTATCATAAATTGTTCATTTTAGATGAGAGATACTTGATCTTTCCTAAAAAAATAAAAAAAATAAAAAGTGTAGCTAGCTTAACTGATGTTAGCTTAAGGCAGGTTAGCTTAGCAGCAGATTTACATTTTTTCTAAATCCCCAAAATTGAGAATGTTTGGACTGTTGACTTCTGTGCTAAGATACTAACTACTTGAGACACATCCAGGTGCTTCAAAACTTCCACTAAAAACTCTGGACATAGTTACTGCTTCGACTCTTTTTGCGAGATTAGCTTAGCTATTATAGAACCTGCAAGCCACACATCAAATAATAATTCCTTTGGCCTGGGCTTTCTCCCCTGCTTCATTAACATCTGATTTGTGGGCATGCTCCAGGAAGCTTTCACTCCACAGTGACTCCATAAGTCTTGGGTGATGTGGATCCAGGACGTAGATTCACCTAATTTTGTTGTCTAGTCAGAGTTTATGGTTTATGCCTAAAGGCTTATGGTTGGTTTATGCCGGAAGTTTTAGTTTTCCTGCATTACGAGATTGTAACCTGGAACATGTCCTAATTCTTACCAAGAAAATTCTGTAAATAGTGTGGTTTCTGTTTTGATTTTCTGGCAGTGATGTGAGAGAACTTGTTTCAGTTGTCTGCTTTCTAACACTGCCCACCAGAGTTGTGCAATGGAAATGCCAAAACAGTATTTTTTTTTTCTCATTATCAAATGTGAAAGGATTCTAAGTCATCAAAAACTCTAGTATTTACACAAAGTGTTAAACAGATACTTTTCACACTTTTTCAGATTAAAGGCTCATTATTTATGGTAGGCTGTTTAGAACAATTGTTGTTTTTTTTAGAATTTTACAAATGTATTTTTTTTATTGTGAACATTTAATTTGAGATTTTTTTTTCTTAAATTAGTAAATATTCATTTCCAGTTATATTTTAGATAATGCTTAAAAAGAATTAATGCAAACCAAAACAATGAGCCTTATTTTTAAGACGGATGTTCTCATGTTGCTAAAAAGCCTATTTACAAACTCTGTTTTGTAATTACTTTAAGTAATATTCTTTTTTATTAAGTCACGCACTGTAACTGATGGCTACTTTTATGTTTGGTTTATTGTTGTATTTGTTTTATTATACTCAGTCTTACAGTATTATCAATGTTTTTCTCAAAAACTTTGCACATTTTGTTTCCCTCCTTCCTTCTTTTTCCACATCTCATTTATTTTCCAATCCAAAATTTGTCTTCCAGCTTCTGTTTCACTTCATTTTGTTCAGTCTGTTTCAACTTTCCAATGCTGCACATTCTGATTGGCTGATTCCTGCCAGCAGTGAAGGTGACGATTGGCCAGATTTGGTCATAAGATCTTGTTGTACTGCTTTTGCACTGGCTGCCTTTTGTAGCTCCATCTGATTCATTTATTTTTTTCCTGACTAACCAAGATAACCAATCACAAACCAGCATGAACCTCAAGCCTAGCATGTTGAAGACTATTTGTAGCATTGTGCACTGTTGAGTAAAACACCAAATCTAATACTGTGCCTGTGTTGAATTGCCGCAATCACTTATAAATAAACTACTTGATGCCATTTCCTACAGTATTTCTAAATGTTTCAGCAATGTATGTAGTTGCCACTATTTTTAAATTATTGTCAAATCGCATTAATAAACCAAAGCTAAATAAAATGCTGCTATGCTATCAGTGTGGTCAGCCAGTTTTATAGATAAGCTTGCTACACTACTATTCCCCTTCTGAAGTAAAAATAATTTAGATTAAATTTGAAAAAAGTGCAAAGATTTGCGTAAAAATCTCCTGGTTTGCTTAACAACCTTCCCATCGCTGATATTGTGCCATGCTCGTCCATGTCGTCTTTACCCTGACCGTCTGTCCAAGCAGCTTTTGAATGTATTCGCTGCCACTCATGCATCAGCAGCATCCCCTTTCCTTCGGCCCGTTTGACAGTGACGTGTCTCCACGTGTGTGTGGTCTGTCTGTGGTTCCCTCTGTTTCAGAAGGAGACCTTCCCACTCCTGCTCCCCTCTCCAGATCTCTCTCATGTACCTCCTAGTCTTTGCTCAGGAAATAATTAGACAGCAGCTTTTTGCCTGTGAACTCGTGTTGGCGGTACGATTTCTATCTCACAGTTGTATCATTGCAGCCTGTCGGTCAATTTTTGTTTTGCCTCTTACACACAAATTTTGTAAAATTGCTTAATTTATGACATTTAGAAGATGTGTATATATAACTATTGACAAATAAATGTATTTGATTGCAATATTCATTTGCAGTGTTATTTGTTACCCGTCAGTTAAATTGCATCATTTCCAAAAGATCAAATATTCACAATGGGGTTCATTCACACAATATATTCTCTACCAGCAAAATTAACACATTTTGTAATCTGTTCATTGTCAATTCTTCTTTCAACTCTTTGAGTTGGCCTAACATCACCCACACAAATCATGCTCATGATCACAGCCTTTAACAATTAACGCGTGCCTTATTTATTTATTTATTTATTCTTTTTTTTTTTAAGAGGACATAGATGCTTGAGTCTGTTTTCTTAAAACAGACTCAGACTCTGTCCATCTTATGGCAAAATGTTGCAAAATTGAAGATTTCCTAAATGCAACAACCTGAGAAAAAGGGTGGCCGTCATGCAAAAGCTTAATTAGTAGATAAAAAAAGTGTTTCGCTATAGAGTCTGTTGACCCCATTCAATCTGAACAGGACTGAAGTGAATCTCATCAGTATGCTTCTATCGGTTTCCTTGTGGGCTTTACTAATGGGTCTTTTCTGTCCTTTCCTCTTGTTTCTTTCTCATAAATAAAAGAGAAAAATTTAACCAAATCGGGAACACTCGGTAAACACCTCTTCATTAACAGAACAAGGCGTTGTTGTCTAGTATTCCTATCGGGATAATGTGTTATGCCGACATGTTTTTTTTTTTTTTTTTTGCTGTGGCCGAGTGGAATCACCTCTGCAAAGATTCTGTACATTGTTGACTTCATTACTCTGTGAGTACACATGATATATACATATATATAAATGTGTGTGACTTTCCAGCGCTTGTACATAAAATGATATCACTGTGACTCTGTAAAGTAGATTGTTTTTCAGTATCTATAGTTGCTTCATAAGTCTATGTGACTGATAGAGGAGGAGATGTTCATGTGTTATGTGGATTACATACATAGACTGAAAGTACTTGTGAAATCTTGAAAACTGTTTTAAACGTTAGAGGAACTGTGAATATATGTCAGAATGTATGCCATAAACAGTAAGAAGAAAGTACACCCTCTTTTAATTCTCGGGTTTTACATGGAAACGTAATAAAAATGATCACACTTTAGGTTTGAAATATAAATTCAGGAGTTCAAACCATCCAATAAATGATGAAAAGTTTGTCATGACCATTGATTGGCACACGGCATCAACCTGACTGCGCACAGCTTCTGGCCATGCTAGTAAATTCACTGCCTCGTTGAGTGTGTATTCATATAATGCTCAGTTGTCAGTAATTCAATGAGATTGCCTGCTTGAGTAAATTTGTTTGAACTGGCAGCATAACCACCATAACATCAAGAAAAAGATGGGGAAAAGTAAACGGGGCAGAAGCGATGCCTGCTGTTCGAACAGCTCTAGAATCAGCTAGAATTATGAACTCTTAATAAGACCGAAGAACAAATATCCTAAAATTGCACAAATACTCAGAATTTTACTAAAAATGATGGCATTATAAGCTTTCAGAGTACAGACCCAGATTGTTTATATATAGTCCCGATGTTTATGACTCTTGAATTAACAGGGTGTACTGTCTTACTTTCACTCTAATTGTCAGTCCAGCAACAACCAATATTTGTTTGGAGTCTGGAAAAAATTGTGCCCACACACTGTAATTATTTACAGGCGAGGCATCCAGCATGCAGTCAGATCAGCTGAGAAAAGATCTGAAACCATTTCCTGAGGATACAGAAATGGGTGTTGATGCTCTGGAGGCTTCCTGCATCGTCGGACCTAAAAAGGGAGAAGGTGCCGGAGCCAGAAGCCAGGATGGCCTCAAAGGTCGGTACATGCGGTCCAACATTTAACTTTGTGAAACTGCAGAAACTGTTTGAAATCCAGTTTTTCTGGCCTCTCTGATGGAGAATCTTGGTTTTAATATTTATAAGCTGTTCGTGTCTCTAAAGTTTCTCAACACATCCATTTAGTGCAACGTCCCTAACCCTGTGTCTTTCTGTCGTTTTGCCTGTGGGTTTTGAACTAATCGGGTGTTTCAACAAGTGTTTATTGTTAACTTCTCTGGGCTAAAAATGGTCTGACGAAATTTCCTTAAAACTATCTTACCAATTAAAGACAAAGGCTTTTGCTTTAGGAAGCCCTAACTGCTCGAGTAGAAGGTAAACGGACTCAAGACCTTCCATCGTTCAGAATATGTTTTTTGGATTTTCTAAACCAACTCGTGGTTCAGGCAATGACACGTTATTAAAGTCTATTACAGTCACACTATGAGACCTTAATTTGGGTTTTCATACATGTATTTATTGTATTGATCTGTTCTTGATGGGGTAGGGTGGAGGGGGATCCTAACACTTCCTCACGGGTCATTTGATTGCATTTGGTCTGCAGGTCACGCTAACACAAAACATAATAATCGATGGAAACGAAAGATTCGAGCAAGTGAGTGTCCCTATAAATGTTTCTAATGGCTCTGCCCTACTTCTCTTTGCTTGCAAAGTTAAACAACTTAAACCTTTGATTCCTCTGATTTGTTACTAACATCTGTCTTATTTTATGTAAACTATTTGTTTTGCTTTATGTCTTTGCGGTTCATATAAAGTATTACCTTGTTTCACTAATTACAGCTGGCTGTACTATGTGGCTTGTAAAGCTGCAGTGGATCAATGCTGATCTGATTTATTTATTTTTCTGGTAGAACTGTGACAAACAAGCATTTCTTGAATCCAGGGTTAAGTAAAACAGCAATACAGATGCATCTCAAAAAGCGAATATCATTCACTTTTGTGCAACTAAGTGCTCATAGTTTACATGTCCTGGCAGACTCTATTTATTGATTAGTCTTAGGTATCGATCATCATATAAATCTACATAACGCCAGTTTACCATTTTGGATTTGAATCACTCAACACCTTTTTTCAATAATATTCCAAATTATTATGATGCTGATGTTTAATAATGTTTAGAAAAACACTTTAGTGATTGAAGAAGACAGAACCAATAGTACTAAAAAAAACTGTTGTGCTACATATTCAACTCTAGATGTCCCTGTAGCTCAAAATTTTTTTCTTTTCTTTTAGTCTTTCATCATTAATTTGGTTCACCTTACTTTAACTCCTATTTTATTTATTTTTTCTCCTTGTATTAACTGGTTTCATTGTTTGTGCCCTTCGCCGTCTTCTCTCACAAATGTCACTCTGATATAAAGTACACAACGTGTCTGGTCACTGGGGGAGAAACGCATCATCACTCTGCGCTCAGCCTTTGAGAGTTCTTGTGTGTGCACGCATGTATGTGTATATGTTTAAAATGGCTCACTGTAGAAGTAGAGCCAAAAACATGTAGGTTTTTGCTGAACAATGTTGAGTTTTTCTGTTGTCTTTGTGCACAGCATTCCCTCTGATCTTCATCAAGCACTTCCGCTCAAGACCAGAAACTGTTCCTGAAGTTGATTCTGACTTTGAAGAAATCACTTCAACTGAGACATGCAGTGTGGGTAGCATTTAAAAAGCTCTGGGTTTTTTTTTTTTTTTTGCATCCAGGTACTTTAATGCCGTGTGAGGGTGTGAAGCAAGGCACTAGTTCTCTATGTAAGGGTTGCAATCAAAACTGCTAGTTCTCTTTAGCTCATTCAAAAGACCAATTTGTACAATTTCTTTAAAAAATGCTTTCTTGTCCAAAAAAACTAAACTGATGACACTAATATAGCTTAATCACATGCTTTGGTCTGTCCAAGAGGACAATGATGGACAGTAATAAATATGGTAAGACATCTGTGTAAAAGCAGACAAACAAAACGATTTAAATTTTTTTTTAAAGGCTTATGGGGTTTTAAAAATTATTTTATGTCCTTAAACATAAAACATTAAATTCCCAAAGCATTGCAAGCAATGTAGCAAAAGGCATTTGCCTGCTTGGTTTCGTCAAACCCTTTTAAAGTTGTCAGTTTATGTCCCAAATTAGAGCTAAAACACGATCAAGCCTTTGGAGACTGTCATGCCACCAAGCATACAAAGCCCAAAAACAGAGAGCTGATTTTATCACAGCCGTAGAGCGTTGGGTAAAGTTCCAGAAATTAAGATGCTAACAGACGGTATTTACTGCATCACTGTCATGTTTAAGCCTCGTGGAATACCTACCAACATGCTCGGCTGTGGAGCATGTTGGTAGAAAAAAATCATTTTCTATTGTGCTTCTTGGCTTCCCAGAAATGCCAGAACATTTTAAAGAATGGGATGCTGTCTTTGGACAAGTTAAACCTGGGTGATCATTGGATTTTCTTGAAAAAAAAAGACCCCAAGCAAGCATTTTAGTCAACCAAAACTTAAGAAGAACATCTTAGAATGGCTTTTAAAATCTGATTTGAAATCTTTGGTGGTGTTTGAGGAAGACAGTTGCAACATAAAAGCCTTCAAACATCTCTGAGCTTGTGGCATTTATACATGAAGAATGAGAAGCAATTTCTATTGAGGGCTGTTTGTTTGCAAATCAGAAATATTTGTTACAAGTAATAAAATCTCATGGATGTATTGAAAAATACAGATTATTTGACCAGAACTGTACTGCACACGCTATTTACATTTGAAGAGAGTCCAGCTGTGAGGGGAGACCAAGCAGACAGGCTCAGGAAAGAAAGTTAAGGAACAAGAAGGGAGCTGATGAAAAAATAAAGAATAACCACGGAAAGTTTGAAATTTTATTTCACCAGGCAAAACATTAAGAACACTTTATTTACAATGTCAGCTTGAAAGTTCTAAAAACACCGAGCCAAAGAAACAGCTTATAAGAAAATAATCAAAAGTGGAAACAAAAACTTAAGCAATTCAAGATCATGACATAAAGTAAACATAATTTAATTTTAACTATTTCCCTTGTTTTTTTTTTAAGGAGCCAAAACCAAAAGCAGATACACAGACTCTGCCTGAGGAAAGTAAGAAGAGTGATGAGCCACTAGCTGCAAAAAAATCAGGTTCCAGCACATCGGCTCCTCGGAGGCGGCTGCTGCTATCCCAGCCTGAAAGAGAGAGGCTTCTGAACTGGGAAGAGGGTCTGAATCCTGAAAACACTCCCATTGACAGCAGCACGACAAACATTTCTCAGCTTAAAAATCAGGTGAGGATTTCACAAAGAAGAGATGTTTCATGCTTTTAATACTCCCCCCTCCCCCCGGTCCTTCAGAGATTCAGACTTAAAAATGTGAGAAAAATTAATTCCACATCATGTTGGCCACATTTTTTCTTTCCTCTGATGTTTTATCAGGTGCAAGCAGAAGCAGATAAGCCTCTGTCCAACTCGAGCCAGATCAGAACAGCAAGTCGGAGCCAGAAGCCAGCATCTTCTTCCTCTGCTTTCCAGGTCATAGCTAACGCCGTCAGGAGGACCTTTAGTGGGATCAGTGAACCCAGCAGCTCCAAGGCTGCTGTTGTAATGTTTGTATTTTTAATTTTTCTTCATTTCAACGCCTAAAAACTTTAAACCGGAACATCATTTGAAATTTCTGTCCTTTCTGTCTTAATAGGAGACACAAACGTAATGTTCTTCGTAAACAAAGGCCCATGTCTGAAGGCGCATCTGATTTCGGCTCACTGTTCAGCCATGAAGACTCTGGGTCATCGGCAGCGGAGAGGAGAACGAGCATGAGTGGTGTCCAGTGGGCTTCTGTGGGGACAGATCCGTGGGGCGAGGGGCGAGACCTGCCGTCCTTATTGCAGCAGGTGTCCCTAAAAAGTCGAAGGGACTCTGAAGGGCCACCGGACGAACTTTGCTCTCTGCCCCGTAAAAGGGTAGATTTGTTTTCATCTCTTAGGCTCAGGAAGAGGGGCCTATCAGAGAGTGAAGGGAAGGAGCAGGAAGCTCAAAAGGAAATTAAGACATTTCTGTCCAACCTGAAAAACAAAAGTGAGTCTATGTTGCGCATCTGGAAAGTATTCACGGCGCTTCACAATTTCTACGTTTTGTTGCATTACGGTCTTGTTCCAAATTGTATTAATATTCGACACACAATCACACCATTATGACAGCATGAGAAAAAGTTTGAGATTTTTCTATTTCAAGTGTATTAGAAATAGAAAACCAAGAAAACACGTTTACATAAGGATTCACAGCCTTTGCTGAAAATGTTGTTAATTCACCTTTGGCAGCAATTACAGCCTGGAGTCTTTTTGAATCTGATACAACAAGCTCAGCTCATCTTTAGGCAGTTTTCTTTTTGTGCGGCGCTCCTCTGGCTCCATCACGTCAGATGGAGACGTCTGTGCAGCTGTTCTCAGATCTCTCCAGAAAATGATACATTTTTCTGATTTTTTTTCTTTTCTTCTTATTATTATGTATCTAGCCTCTAGTGAACAGAGTTTGGAAGAACTGTCCTCAAGTGGGGATGAAAATGAGAACCTGACGTCCACCAACAAGGTGCGTACAAACGACCTCTACATTCAGGTAGACGTGCGAATCCAGTGGACTGTGTTTGAGACGTGTTGTTGGTCATGTTCCAGCTGTCCTCAGACCGATTAAAGGAAAAGCAAGAAAAGACTGCGGCCCAGCAGGCCAAACGAGAACAACTGAAGAGGCTTCATCGAGCTCAGGTGCTCCTTTATTTCCTCTATAGAGATATTTGTTGCATTGCTTCAAAACACTCCATCTAAAGTGTGACCTTATCAAAGTGTGAATACGGCTGTTATCTGTCAAACTGTAGAGCTTTTTGTGTTGGATGAGTATTTTTTAGCACAGTGTTTATTTTGATGGCTGAGTTTCAGTGAGGTGAAATGTTCTCTTTTTTTCTGTTTTGTTGTACTTGCAGTTATTTTCTTATATATTTGAATTAAAATAACGCTTGTTTGGCATAAGAATTCCTATTTTTAAAAAAGTACCGGCAGAAATGTTATTTTCTGAAAACTAAAACCCTATCTCCATTACTTGCCTGCCTTGCTTCTAACCCTCATGCGTTTGTTTTTGTGCAGATAATCCAGAGACAGCTGGAGGAGGTGGAGGAGAAACAACGCGATCTGGAGGAAAAAGGAGTGCGAATAGAGAAGATCATCAGAGGAGAAGGTACTTGTGCACATATTCAGATCAATCCCTCATAACTTCCTTTAGAGCCTGGAAGCTTTAAGCCATCCACCTTTAAACAGGAAATCCAATCAAAGCTTTGCCTTTCTTCTCTGAAATTGCACCGACTGCACAGTCCTCTGACTGTTTAGAAGGACGCTTTCTCTTGAAGCGTCTGTCTGGTTAAAACCCTCAATGTACTTAATGGTTTTATTCACAGCAGACACCAAGACTTCATTATTGATTCATGTTTTCACAGTAGAGCGCTTTGTGCTTCAGTGGAGTTTTCAGTGAAGACTTGCCTTTGTGAGTGGTCAAAGCCTGATGTATTTCTCCCAGCAATGGCCTTGTGGAGACGGCATCGAATCACTCACACAACTCCAAGTCTTTCCTCTTTCTTACTGCGTTTCCTCTTAATTTCCTCCCTTCGCAGATTCTCATCAGACTGACGAGCGTGACGAAGCCCAGCTCTATCAGGCCTGGTTTGAGCTCGTCCTGGAAAAGAATTGGTTGGGGCGCTACGAGTCAGAACTCATGATCTTGTGAGTGGCAGCCCGGAGATCACCTGCATGTGAAAATATACTGTACAGTTAAGATTGCTTGCCATTGAAGAACTACAACTCTTGTATCTTAGTGCCCAAGATCTCGCGCTGGAAGACACACAAAGCCGGCTGCAACAAGATCTAAGACGGCGAATGTCAGTCGAAGGTAAGTCCTTCATCTGATGGTTTCATAGTCAGGCACAAGGAATACACACTTAATTTTTCTCTGTACTTATTGATGTTCTTTTAGATACAAACAAAAGCGCCTCCGAGCTGCAAAAGGAGATGGAGATCCTGGCTGAAATGATGAGGACGGTAGAGAAACGGGATATGCTAGTCTCCATATTGGAGGAGCAGAGATTGAAGGAGAGGGCGGAGGACAAGGACCTGGAAAGCCTGGTGCTGTCCAGGGGTTACGAGTTTCACTGGGCTTAAGGGAGCAACACTCGGGGGCAGGAGAAGCTTGAATGATTACTGGTTGTTGATGATGTTGAGCCAACCGTGTGAATTTCTAGTTTGCATCCACCCTTTTTTTACGGTTTAAATCTGGCTGTGGCGTAGATGCACATATTTTGACAGGTGAGGACGTTTTTTCAGCGTAAGAAAGCTTAATTTCATTTGGTTTTCTTACTGTGTGTAATTTTGAGACTAATAAGGAACAACATTCAGCTTAAAACAACTTTGCCAATGAGGTTGTTTTATATTTACCTATAACTATATATACAACAAACTCTGGATGACTGCTTTAGGCTGCTTCCAGGCTTAACTATAAATGTAAAACTTCACTGGAGACCACAAGACTTGACACTTTATTGAGATTTTTATACTTTGCACTGTGTAAAGAGTTAGAACAGATGTTGATTTCAGAAATATCTTGTGTACAAATAATCTTTTGTCACTTTGTGTGCTGCTGTGCATCTGACTGTAATTCCTTGTGAAAACGTGATCCTGTTATTTTCTTTTGTGCTTGGAAAAAAAGAAAAAACGGAAAAAAAAGAAAAGTATTTACACCCTGACAAAGACACAAGAGACACGGCTTCTTCCTAAACCTCTGAGGCAAAGTCTCAGGGTGTGAAACCGATACGCTCCTGGATGAAACTGTCCTGTCATCTTCTAAATCAAAATCCACCAGGCAATTTTGTGGAAGGAGCTCGTGTGTCTTAAATTTAGATATTCACCGTTTCCCGTTCTATCAGTAGTTTTGTCCTACTGCGACTGCTTTTTGTTTGCCAATGGCTTCATCACACTCTTAGAGCTTCAGGTCTACATACATATAGGAATATGAGTGATATGTTTACACTTTTAGTCCTGGAACAAGTCATGACTCTGGCATTTCATTTTTTTGAGAATATTTTCCATGTGCTGTGAATTAAATAATTAATCTATATTTCGTGTCTAATTAAAGTTGTGTCAGGGTTCTTTGTTTTGTTTTGAGTGGGGCAAATGGGTGACATTTCTTCAATAAAAATACAGTTTGAATACTGTTGAAATGACTCAGTCTTTTGGAGGCAGTGATTTTGTTGTGGGTGTGTCGGGCGAGGGATGTATTCTTGTCTTTTGCACCATTCCCTTTGCAAAGAAAGTTGAACAAAAAGAGCAGAGCTGCTGCGGTTCTCCATCAAAAAGAGTCAGGCGAGATGGTTTGGACATCTGATTAGGATACCGCCAGGACAAGTCCTTTTAGAAGATTCTTGGCCTCACAAGACAAACTGTATTTTATCTAGGACCATGATTGAGGACCACTGACCTGTCTGTCTGCGTCTTGTGAATTTTTGGTAATAAAAAAAAAAAGTTTTTTTTTTTTTTAATTCAGTGAAGTTACTGAAAGTGGGTAGATTAAACAGAGTTTTTATTGTTTAAGCTGCACAACAACTGTAGGAGGAACTCAAATCCAGACAGTAAGCAGCCTGATCAACCAGGCTATGTAATTTTATTTTCACATTTCTTTCTTCTAAAATTTCAACTTGCATGCAAAACAATTGCTACCATCAAAAAAAGTAGCTGTTACCATTTTAGCTCTTTTTTATTGTATTTTATTTGTTATAACAAACCCTTCTGTTTTTAACCCTTTCAAAACCTTTTGTTATGTTCTTATTTCTTCTTCCTGTATGTCCCTCCAGGGCCCCTCAGCCCCCTGCTGTGAAGCCGGAGTGTTGACGCTCTCCTGCCGCAACGACCCGCCTCCTCCCTCCCGCCTCCCGGCTTCCAGCCCTCGGGAGAGGAGGGGCCTGCTGCTCCAGCCAACCTCTGGTGGAAATATCTGGAATTCCGTTTCCGCTTTAGGGAGGGACGGTGATTTTTTTTTTTTCTTTTTCCCCAATGACCATACTTTCTGCTCAACTTTAATTTCCACGTCAACTCGGACAGATTTCTGTCAGCCGTGTCGGATTAATCTCTCGTCTCCACGATGGCCTCGTCGCCTCAGAAGTCTCCGTCTTCTCCAAAGTCCCCGACGCCCAAGTCTCCCTCCTCCAGAAAGAAAGATGACTCGTTTCTGGGGAAACTTGGGGGAACTTTGGCGAGGAGGAAAAAAGCTAAAGAAGGTAAACATTTTTACGAAAAACAACAAAACAAGAACTTTTACGTGCGCGGCCAGTTCGTAAAAAGTAACTTGCAACAATGTCTAAACGTTTTGCGACCAAAGAAAAAAATAATGGCGAGTCTCGCAAACTAAAAGAGGCGACGCAACAAAGTTTCCAAAGCTTACCCAAGACTTCTTTTAACTCGCCCTGATTGTTTTGGAGGCGACTGAGATGAAGCACCTGGAAATACAACCTGGAGCGCCTTCTGCTCGTCTTTCTAGCCGGAGGTTATGTCTGTGCCCATGTATGGCAGTAAATCCTCCATTACTGTAATATGTGAGGAATGAGGCGTGACGATTTTCTCCCTGCGACTGCAAGCTGAGGCCAGCAGCACCACGCCGCTTGTAGTTTTATAAATACACTTTAATTTGTCAAAATTCTGCATCTTGGCACTCATTTTTAAAAGTGGGTGTTTATACTCAATTTAGAGAAGTATCCTTTCATTTACATAATCGCCTCCCTGTCTGTATTATGATTATGTTATGTATTATGATATTATGATATGTATTATGATGATATGATTACATTTTTACACTATAAAATACTTGCAATTATTTTTGGCGTGCTGTTTAAAATCCTCACTACACTAAATGTATTTATTTGTTCGTGTCCGGTAAATCTGTGACATATTTACGTGGGTTTTGATTTATTTACAACAAATTGTTGTGGTTACTCTGCCTTTTAAGAGAACCATTAGCTTTCCAAGAAGGAGGCATGTTTGACATAAGGACAAAAAGCTAAGAGACAGACTTTTTTTTTGTTTCACCACAAATCAGATTGCTATTACCTACCCTTTATAATAAGGATGTGTATGTAGTTGCCTGGATAAGACCCTAATCTTTTTGGATATTTCTCTGGCCTGAGTTTTTAAAGCAGGAATACATATTTTCATCAGGGAAAATATAAAAAATAAAAAAAAAATACAGCACTCTTATTTTAGGTATGTGACAAGCTGTCTCAAAGTAGTGAGCAGCTGCTTTCTATTCCCTGTTATCTGTGCTTCCACAACTCTCTGACCTTTAGCATTTTGTGCATTTTGTGAGTATCTGCTGTCGGGAGACTTTATCCAACTGGCTGAATATTACATGAGCTGCGAATGCAGGTTCATAACTCCACAAAAATAAAAATATTTGCACCCTAGCATTGGGGACACTAATATTGCAGTGGTGACATTTTAGCACATCACCGTAAACATGCTGCAGTGCCGCCATTGTGAAACATGGTGGTAGCAACATAATGCTGTGGGAATTGTGCTGCCACCACCAGCAGAGACAGAGAAGCAAGTTGGGGATGATGGGAAGGACTCACCTGAATACTGAATTTGTTAAGAGATAGAAAAATAACAATGATTGTTTTCACATCAGGTTTCTGTTGTTGAAAGTATTGCAGACTGAGGAGACATGTCCACTACTTAACCACTGTACTCAATGCAGGTAACTTGAGACGTGTCGAGTCTCTTAAAGTTGTGTATCATACACACTTGCTGGTTTTACAGCATCATTGCATGTCAGCGGTGAGATACACTCAATTGCAGCTCTTGGCGATGAGCCTCTTGCGGTTGTGGATGTTTCACTTTGCTTCACCTGTTTTTGCAACAGTGACCAAACATGTTGGATTTCAGCTATAGAAAATCTGGTAAGAATATTTGAAAAAGCCTATTTTAGACATTTAGTTTTGCTATTTATAATTTTTACAGAGTGCTGCTTTGAAACTAGAGCCTGGTTCAGATGCCATTCACTGCTGAAGGTTTTATCACTTTATGAAAAAAGGTCTCCTTCAGCTGGATGATTACTTTGTGTCAGCCAGGATGCTGCTGCACAGCTGAGCCCAGTATTTATGTTGCCTTTTTCATTGGTCATTCAAGCAATCACATTACATTCCAGCTCGTTCATATTCACTCCACACACACACACACATACTCTCTTATATATACGCACAGAGCAGCGTGTGGGATGTCTGCAAAGTGTTTCAATGATTTGATGGAAAATGTGGGCCGGTCTCTCTTGTGCTGATGATTGAATAAATTTAAGTCCATGCGACGTTTATGGCAGTGGTCGAGTCTGCCTCGGAGAGAGGGGCCGTTGGCTGCAGCGGGCAGTAATGACTGGATGAAAGCAGGAAAAAAAAAAGAAGGAAAATGTTAGAGCGGAGGTAGAGGATGAGAAACAGGAGGGAAACTATACGACTGGGACTGGATGATATGAAAGAAGAGAAGGTCAGGAGGCTTTCAGAGCACGAGTGCAGCCTTGTGCATTGAACGTTGGTGCAAACTGAAAAGACAGCTCATAAATCTGAAGAAGAAATACACAATTCTTTATCCTCATTGAATATTGAGCAAATGTCAAACTTACTTCTGGGTTTAGATGTTAAACCAGAGGTAATTTTAGAGCACAGTCTGTGGACAGTAAGCTGCAGGGGAGAAAACTGGTCCTGGTTGCCAGGAGAGGATGCTTGAAACAGAGGCATGGGCTGTGGAGCGTTCTGCCCTGCAGGTAGGACTCATCACTCAGCATGCATTATTTTAGTGTTTCCTATTGTAGGGGACACTGGTAGCTTTATTATATGGTAATCTTTACTCAAGCAGTTTGATGGATCCTTTTGTTTTATGTTGGAGGGAGGAGCGATGCACCGCGAGGACACACTCGGTGCACTTCAATTCCTTTCGATCTGGATTGGAATTGAATTTACACAATGCATATGCCTTTTGTTTAAACACCCATTTATTTCGCAGCACTGGAGCTGATTTTAAAAAGATTGTTGTGGACCAGCTGAATGTAACAGCTGGTGAATAAGATTGTGCTGATTGGTACAATTATTATATTGCAACTAGAACACCAAGTGAGTGTTTTTTTTTTTTTTTCATGTACTGAGCATTGAAGAGTTTTCTTTTTTTATTTCTCTTCAATGCAACTCTTAAAACTACAGCTATTTATACAAATATGTATTTTACCTGACTAATAGAAGTTGGATTGAGGATCATTTCTGTCTAATGTCCAGTGCGGCCTGGGCAAGAAAAGTTGTCAACAATGAGGCTTCTGGAGATGCTTCAAATTTTTAAAATGTTCCTTAAAAATTTGGAAACATCATGAAATAGCAGCACGTGGTTTATTTGGAGCTCTGAAGTGCACATAAATAATGGGAATTCCCCATGTTCTCCAAAAGGAGCTGTGTTGGGTTTAGATCTGGTGACTATTGTAGTACAGTGAATTCAGCAATGTTCAAGAATCCACTTTGATTCGAACTTTGTGACATTGTGCATTATCCTGTTGGAAGTAGTCATCAGACATGGCTGCACTGTGGTCATAAAGATATGGACCCTCAACAACCAGATTAAACCATACTTCTCTGGTATTGAGAGGTGCCCAAAGAGTGTCAAGAAAATATTTGCTATACTACATTTACCAGAAGCTGCAGGGATTTTTTCCCCCCAATCTCTTATTGTGCAATTATGGTGAGCCTGCATGAAATGTAGCCTTAGTTTTCTGTTCTTGGCCAACAGGAGGAACTCCAGGTGGTCCTCTGCTGCTGTAGCTCATGTTCTTCAGGGTTCAATGTGTTGAGCATTCAGAGTTATTATTCTACGTTCGTTAGTCATAACAACTGGTTATTCAAGCTACTGCTTCCTTTCTGTCATCTCAAAACCGATCTGTCTGTTCTTCTCTGACCTCTGATATCAACAAGGTCGGGATGGACAATAAAACAACAACAATGTACAGGGTGGGCCAAAAGTAATACATACATACATAGAAAAAAAAATTAACATTTTGTATTGGATAGCCGTTTTTATTTTTGTGGTACAATATGTAATCGCTGCACGTCTTGGACCGCTTTGTGGTTGTGTTGCAACATTTCCAGTTTTTCTGAAACTTGCAAATAAGTTTTGCCACAGTGTCGCGTGTGAAGCTTGTTCC